CCCGTGGGAGTGCGCGCGGGGCCGCGGTGTGGGCCCCGAGGCCAGGGCGGCCGGGGGACCGGGACACGACGTGAGGTGCTGCCCAGGCCGAGAGCGCGTTAGGCTTTGACGGGAGGAGTTAATTTGGCTCTTGTGTAGAGAACACTTCCGATGAGCTGACTGGGGAGTTGTGTCCCCCCCCTCTTCCCAGCCTATTGAAGATAAGATGTAAAGACTGGGACATTGGTCTTTTGTCTAAGATGAAAATACGTATCCTGAATTGTGAGGGAGGCAGGAAACTATATTCCCTTTTTTTCCCCCACTGAATAAATAAAATGTACTGCTGGTATAACAGTAGTTTATAGTTCTTAAAACAGCCTTCCTTTCTAACAGACCATGCTGTTGTTCATTAAATTATGTTTATTGTTTATGTCCCGTGACTCTCCTGTCAGCTTTCCACGAGTGGTACAGGCTAAATGTTCTGGTGTTTTTTTCTTTTTCCTAAAGAGCACATGTTGAATTCAAATTTTAAAAATTTGACAATATAGGTAGTGAACATTCTGATCATTGGACCCTTAAGTGCCCAATAGATGAACATCACAGTTATTTTCATCAGAATAATGCAGGACAGGAATGTCTTGTAAGCAATGTTTTATGTTTTTTTCTCTGGTTTTGAAATAGTATTTGACTTATCTCAGAAAGCATTAACTCAGTTTTTTTTCTGGTTTATACTTTTCTGTCTGGTCTTGAGCCTGGTCCTACAAAGCACTAAAACCAGATGTAATTTGATACACAGATAGGCCTGGTGGGTGCACAGATTTAAACGTGTGCATTCTTCACAAAATTGTAGCATTTGTTTATATCCACAAGTGCTTTACTTCTGATGTGCCCTTTGGTTCTGCAAGGAAAAGAAGAATTTAACTAGAAAAACTTCTCAATGCATTGTTCACCCACTGCTCCTCACTCAAAACAAATTGTTTTTCTCCAAGTTTTGGTGCTGTCACTGGACATAAAAGTTAAGATCATTTCTTCCTCATATTTGCAAACCTACAGAGGAGAGGGAATTGATATTTAGGAGGCTGAACTGAATTGAAATGTCAATTACAGTTGTTCTGAAACACACAGTACTCACTGGAATTTACCCTTGTTTCCACTATAGGGATGAGACATTTATTTCTTTTTGGTGCTGGAATAACAAGCTCAAGGCTGTGGCTGTTACAGCAGCTGATAACAACATGAACATTTAATTAACATCCTCAATTGAAGAAGAAACCTACATACCTAGCCTTACTCTTTTCTGTCATCCCTGTGCCACTGAGGTCAACCTTGTCTTGTCCTTGCTTCTGGTTACCTCATCTGGTGAGTATGAAACCTGCTAATTTTACTTACATGGGTAACAGCTGTACTTGAGTAGGGTTTTTGTAGCCAAAATTTTGTCAGACTCTTACCTGTATTTTTCATACTGGTTCTGAAATACACAGTATGACATAAAAGACTAAGTGTCTCTCCAGCAATTTTTCTTTTTATATTTTTGAAAAGTAGCATAATTTACTACAGGAATGTTTTGAAAAAATCCCTGTGTTTTGCGTGTAAAGTTGATAGCTTTAGACCTTATGTAGGTGACAGGCTGAGGAAGTTGGAGCTGTTCAGTCTGGAGAAGAGAAGGTTACGTGGAGACCTCATAGCAACCTTCCAGGATCTGAAGGGTCTACAGGAAAGCTGGAGAGGGACTCTTCGTTAGGAGCTGCAGCAGCAGGACAAGGGGCAATGGCTACAAATTGAAGGAGGGAAAATTTATGCTAGATATTAGGAAAAAGGTTTTTCCTGTGAGGGTGGTAAGACCCTGGCACAGGTTGCCCAGGGAGGTCGTGGCTGCCCCAACCCTGGTGGTGTTCAAAGCCAGGCTGGATGAAGCCTTGAGCAACCTAGTCTAGCGGGGAGTTGTCCCTGCCCTTGGCAGGGAGGGTTGCTCTGTAAGGTCCATTCCAACCCCTAAAAATTCTATGATGAAATTATTTTTATGATTGTTTATGTTAGCATATGGTGAAAAGAATCTTTGAAGATTTTAATATTGTGTAGGGTTTATTAATAATGTAGAGACATAGTTAACTTTTATCAGTGTGCAAAAGTCCTTGACCTTAATGCAGTAGGAATATATTCTTATAAGTCTTTAAGGGGAATTAATTGTCTCTCCAACAGGAATCAGTCATGGCTGACGACTCTCAGAGAAACTTTCGCTCGGTGTATTATGAAAAAGTGGGGTTCCGTGGAGTTGAAGAGAAGAAGTCACTGGAAATTCTATTAAAAGATGACCGTTTGGGCAAGTTGATTTCACTGTTTCCTTAATTTCTTGGTGATTAGGGGCTGGGGAGAGAGTAATAGAAAATGTTTAGCAGCTGTGCTTAATACTCATTTAAGTTTTGCATCTCTTGTCACTAATCTATGCTATTACCAGCAGTCCTTTGAGTTTCAAAGGTCTGAAAATCTGATTTTCAAAACTATTAAAGATTTGTCAGCTTGCTTGTTTCTTGCCCTGCCCCCCTCATTCTCTCTGCCAAAATAAATGAAGGTTTTTTAGTGAAAGCAGTTTTAATCTGAGAATACATTGTCTCATGCTGTTAATTCCATCTAACTTCAGTGAAGGTTTTGTTACTGCTGTTGGTCCCTGAGGAGTGCTGCATTTCCAGCAGAACAGAAAGACAAATGTTGTCCCTTTAAAAAAGCCCTTGTTTCGACAGTGACATGATTTACAAAATGCCTATAAAATGGTACAGTTTCTTCCCGACGAAACCTAGAGTAGTTTTGCTGTAAATCAAGCCAACATAAATATTTTTCAGAATTGTTGCAGTATTCTCAGCTGAAAGAGTGAAAGCTTTTGTTGATAATATATGATGAAAGTTGGGATTTCAATCTGCAGCTAAAGATTTGTCATACTTAACTAGATCAGAGACGCAAACCTATTTATAATTGTATTTGAATTTATTTCAGTTTTTCTTTCTTTTTATCTCTCTACAGATATTGAGAAGCTTTGCACATTTAGTCAGAGGTTTCCTCTCCCATCCATGTATCGCATACTGGTGTGGAAAGTACTTCTAGGTATGAAATATGACAGAGAATGTAGAATGTAGGAAGGTGTATTTTTTATGTTACGGTGTTTTTTTGTCCTAGAAGAGGTAATGGCATGGATTCTGTGCTGCCTTGCCTACTGATGCATATTTAGCCTATTTTTGTACAATGGCAATTATAAAACAATACAGTAGTTTTTTTAGAACTTTGCTGAAATGTACATAGAAGAGTGTGTTTCTGTATTTAACTCTGTAACACTATCCAAGTAGATTTACAAAATGGATTTGAAATGTGAATTATAAGAAGTCACTGATAACCTAATAAGATACTCAGTTCTGTTGCTGAAATAACAAACAAGTAGAAGTAAAGCTGTGATTAAACTTAAACCGGGCCAAGAATGGAATGTATGTTTATTCTATAGAGAAGCTCAGTGCTCTATAAAATCTTGGTCTCTTCTGGTTTTGCTTCTGGCTTTAAGTTGTATTTGCCATTGAAGAAGCTGTGAGGCCAAAGACAAGTTGCAGTATCCCCAGAAATTGTAAAAAATCAAAGTAGATTATATTTTCCTTGAAGTGCATTGGTCAGATGACTAACTCAAAAGTACTAATGACTTTGCAGTAACTGGGTTTGCTAGATGTGAGGTTGTGCCACTTGGAGACAGGAGGGGCTGTGCAAAGCTCATGAGTTCTGACCCTTACAAGGTGTCTAGAGAGTTGTTTTTCCTGAGAGTTGCTGCACGTAGAGAAGCACTGACAGGTTGAGTGTGAAGATGCATCATCAGACTGCACCTCTGGAAGAGAAATGTGATTTGTCATACTGTTGATGGGGGAGCATTGTGCCACTTTTGAAAACCTTGAGTGTGGCTCCTGTGCTTGGCTTTGTATTGCCAGAGCTGTGCTGGCAGGAAGGGTGCTGAGAGGCAGAATGTTTCATCAGGGAGACCAGCAGCTTCAGTCTGCAGATTGGCTTGGAAGCTGCTGTCTTTTACTGCCTGTGAACTACCCTACATTTTCTTTGTCATTTGGCTCTCCAGAGTGCATGATACAGATCCCATATATATCTCATATGAAGATTTTTTAGCATGTGGTTCAGAGTCAGGAAGATTGGTGACTGAACAGTTTTTCTCTGTTTTAGGATGCTTGTTTGTCTTAGGCGGTGCCATAATCTTGAACAATGTTCATGTAAATATCTGCTTCCCTTCTTGGTGTCTGTATTCCACTACAGTATCTGGAGTTTGAAATAATGTATTAGAAAGTCTTAAATAATTAAATTTTTTTCTTGCCCCTTCCCCTCCAATTTTCTACAATTTAAAAGCTGTGGCTTCATATTCCTGATTATTTGAATTTATACGCCTTTTTTGGCAAAGGTCGTAAGTGAACCGTGCACAGAGGGTGCAAGATCTAATTATAAAACTTGAAGTTCTTGGCATTGATCATTGAACCAATGTATCAAGTATTTCTACTTGATAAAAGCCTCTGCCATTAAAAAGTTTATTGCACCCTGGACCCTAGTAAAGAATCAGCATCCTTTAAAATATTAGTAGGAAGTATAGTGTAGGAGTGACTCAGTACAAGATCCTTCAACCAAAACTGTAATAGTGAAATACAGTCTCTTTGCAAAATTGTGGCTCACTGCAGAGCCAGTGGTCAGTGTTTGGCTGTTTTAGGTAGATGATCTGTGAATCACGTGAAAACACAAAACACATTTTAAGTTAAGTGTATGGAAAAGTATATTCAGATTTAAAAGGATTTTGTATTTTAAACCCAGAGTGATTTATTTCATGGCATGAAGCTGTGTCAGGGGAGGGTTAAGTTGGGTATTAGGAAAAGGTTCTTCACCCAGAGGGTGGTTGAGCACTGGGACAGGCTCCCCAGGGAAGTCATGGCACCTAGCCTGACAGAGTTCAAGAAGAGTTTGGACAACACTCTTGGGCACACGGTGTCATTTTTTGGGGTGGTCCTATGGAGGGCCAGGAGTTGGATTCGGTGATCCTTGTGGGTCCCTTCCAGCTCACCATATTCTATGACTTCAAGTATGCGTCCTGTCATTCTTTACACTCCTCGGGTGAACGGAGATACAAGGACTCTTTTTGTGCTGCATCTCAGTGTTAACACTGTTAGCAAAGCTGGTGTTGAGAAGGACAATGCAAAAGATCTCTCCCTAAATGACTGGAACCACAGCCCAGTCCATTTCTGGTGGGAGGTGTTACATGTCCTCTAAATAATGTTCATAGTTTAACAAAAGAAAGTCTATTCAGTCACCAGAACTATTCTCTGACATACACCAAGGCTTGATGATGCTGTCCCAAGTTACATGGTATGTCAGCAATGCCTCTGTTAACTTCCTGCTCAGGTATGACTCATGATGGTTTCTAGACATCCCTGTGTTGTTTAAGCTTCTCTTCTGTCTGTCCAAGGTAGTCTCCTGTGTTTGAGGAGAGCAGTTGGCAGTATGTACATACAAAGTCATGATGTTGACTCTTTTGGCATAGCATGAAAAATGCCTTGCTCTATCCCAGCTTTTGAAATGCAGACAGGTTTGCAGTTGGAAAAGCAAAGATAATTTTCTGTGTGATGTGCTTGTTACTAAATTCAGCCATTTTGTGGTTTAACACTTGGCAGGAGTATTTTGCTCTTTAAATGAAGATAAAAGCAGCAGATAGCTTGTTTCAGAACTGATTTCTGAAGAATACTTTGTTCTAGTGGATTTCTACACTGGGAAAAATTCTGCTCCCAAAGTGATATGGAAGTGGCATTTTTTTTGCCTTGATGTATGTGAGTTTTTATTTCTGTCAAAGCCTGTGACAGTTTTGTTGTGAACATCATTGCATGGCAAGATTGAATCTTGAGTGAGGGGAAGGAAATGTTGAGCATCTCTAATGGAGATGCAAGTTTAGTTTTCTTTGCCTTTATATTTAGATAGTTTTATTTATTTTTATACTCTCTTTTTTTTCCCCCTAGGAAACTAGAAAGAATACTTGTGCTATGCTAAGGAAGTAGAAATGTTACCTTGCAAAGGGCCTATGTGTCATTCTTAAGTTTTAATCTGTAACCAGTTAAACCTGTGTGACTGATTTTGCTTCTGAGCATTGTTTTAGAGAGGTTTAGTGTATGATGCAGTGAGTAAAGACTTTCTAGCAGTAAATTAATTAATACTGCAGTGTGCAGTAACTTTGCATTGGTTAATTGCATGTGTATATTCTCCGTCATCTCAAAGTGTAGAACTTAAGAAAATCATAGAATCGACCATAAAAATCATGCTGTACCCACTTTGTTTTCAAAATAAATGAAAGCTGGGCACGAATATACAGAATCACAGAACCAGTCAGGTTGGAAAAGACCTCTGAGATCATCAAGTCCAACCTATGATCTTACACCACCATGTCAACTAGACCATGGCTCTAAGTGCCACATAGAGTCTCTCCTTAAACACCTCTGGGGCGGTGACTCCACCACCTCCCTGGGCGGTCCATTCCAGTGTCTAATCACCCTTTCTGTCAAGAGATTCTTCCCAATGTCTAACCTGAACCTCCTCTGGCACAGCTTGAGGCTATGTCCTCTCATCCTGTCACTAGTTGCCTGGGAGAAGAGACTGATCCCCACCTGGCTACAACCTGCTTTCAGGTAGTTGTAGAGAATGTGTAGTACACAACTGGTACTGTACTAAAACCTAGATAGGTATAAACAGGTAAGATTTTTCTTTATGATTGCTTATATTTTGTAATTATTTTGTTTATTTTAGGAATTATTCCTCCTCACCATGAATCTCATGCCTTGGTGATGAAGTACCGGAAGGAGCAGTACTGGGATATACATCATGCTCTTCGTGTAATTCGTTTTATTAATGATTCTACCCCACAGGTAGATGTTTTTCTCCGCATACATCAACTGGAATCAGGAAAATTGCCTCGGAACTTGGCTTTTCCATTGGTCAGTTCTCATTTTTAACAGTTGCACTTCAAACTGTAAACCATTGAGAAACTGAACTGCAAGTCACCCCACAAATGCACGTTAGATAGACCAAGTAAGGTGAATGGAAATCAGAGTACTGCTAGTATGCAAGAAGGAATTTTAGTCAGAGTGCTTTTCTCTTTTTCTTCCCCTAAGTACTTATGTAAGATTTTATGCTTTAAAATCTCTTTTGTGTATTTTGCCTGCTAGGTTTCAAGCCTCTTGTACTCTACTGCACTTCAGTTTCTTGTAGCATTGAAATGAAAATGACATAATCTTAGTGGAGCGCATAGATTCTTACAGGAATAATTCATAGCCAGTACAAGCAGTGATCTAAATGCAAATCACATATATTTAGATTATTTGTCCTTAAATCTAGACTTTAATGTACTGACCTCCTTTTTGTGTTAGTCTGAAGTGATGCAGACTCCTGTCAGGTAATGCTTGTTCTCTGCAGTTTGCAGTGTACTCACACAAGGGTAAATGAGTCTGTGTTTTGATGGTAAGTCAGTGTGATGGGAAAAATGATGTGTGGTTCTTTTGTATAAGCCTCTATGAAAGAGGACATATAAAAGGAGCCACAGGACTTTATGAAGTGGATTTCATCCTGTATTTAAAGTTAATTTATCCATGTTCACTCTAGCCCAGCTTTGGTACTTGTCATCTGTAATCACAGAATTTGACCCCAGAACCTAAAGAGAAGTTCAAAATTAAAAAAGGTTAAAGTTTATATGGAAAAGTCAGTAATATTTTGAACTAGAGGACTACACATAGCATGCTCTTGTCAGAAGAAGGAGAGTGTTTTTGGCCCTTAGCTTTGCCTGGGAACGTGGCCTTCCTACCCTGCAAGTTTCCTGTAGAGAAAGTTCCTTGATCTTGGCATGTGACCCAGTGGCTGAAAATTCATTCCTTCTCGAGCAGTAGTGCCTTCTGAGCAGGTGTTTTGTCAGTGCATCCCAGAGCACTAGCTGCTCTCAGTACTGCGATGGGGTTTCATAAAGGTGGTGTTTAGCAGACCCCCAGTTATTAGCCCTGTAACTTAGGTTTGTTTTGCTGAAGAAAGCATTTGTTCCCTTTGTGCTAGCCTGTTTTCAGTGCAATAACTGTCCACTTAAACTTGTAAGGGACTACTGCTTGATAGTCATGCAGATGATTTATTGTGGAGGCAGAGGGAGTATTAAGATGATGTTGGATTGATCTAAATATTTTGAAATGTTAAAGTAACAGACCACAGAAGTCTGCTAAAATGTTTTCTGTGCACACAAAAGCAGAGTTTAAGTAGGGATATGTGTGTATTGCAGCAGCCTATGTAGCAGAGACATGTCCCAGTAGTATTTAAGACTCTGCACTGCAGCCTGGGATGCTGTAGTTTACTGCTGCTGAGGGTTACAGTACATCAGACTGTGGGTACACATCTGGCTTGTTACCCTGCCTCCTCTTGTAGTCAGTATTGCCTGTGTAAGGAAGACTGTAGGAAACAGGGCAAATACAGAGCCTTTTGCTTTGCATCTTCCCAGTTCCTGAGTCAGCTGTTGGCATGAGGTCTGTCTAGCTGGTTTCAGAGTTAGTTTGCTTCCATCTACCCTACATGCAGTCATACCGTTACTTGTGGTTTAGGCATGCTGGTACTTCTGTTAGGAAAGTATATCCTCATGAGAAGATGACAGTGTGCCCATCGCATGCTTCTAGTCACGTATTGTGGGGAAGAACGTAATTATCACCTGGAAAAGGTATTTAGTTGTCTCTAAGAAGATACTGACCTCAAACCAAATGATTTTCTGCATGTTGAAGTTGGGTATACAACTCATGGCTGAATTTTTTTTTTCAGTAACTGTAACATCCATGACAAAAGTGTTTGAGGGGCGTGTCTGGCCCTTAGCAAGGAACAGGATGAAAAATTCTGCTGCTATGCAATGTAAAATTGTGGCCCATCTAAGTAGGATTATTGCTACCTTGTTAAAGTGTAGCATTTTCTCGATTGTGGCCCATCTAAGTAGGATTATTGTTAAAGTGTAGCATTTTCTCATTTGAGAAAATTCAGAGCTTTGTAACAGAGTTGTTCCAAACTCCTGTTGTGTGTTTTGGTTTTGAAAGCAAGACAAGCCTTACTCGGTCTGTTTTAATAGGTTTCTGTCGTCATAGTGCAGCTGCTGCCCGATGTCTTATTTATGAGTGTCAGAACAGCTCATTGTGTGTGTTGATTCCCCTTTGTTTTCCCAAGTAGCAGGGAAAAGGAATAGAGGAATAATTTAAATCAGTCCAATACTTCTGTGTAGTTAACTTTTTTTTTGGCTTTGTTTTCCAGGAACCTGAAGATGAAGTGTTTCTTGCTATTGCTAAAGCAATGGAAGAAATGGTGGAGGATCCTATAGAATGCTATTGGCTTGTCAGTTGCTTTGTGAATCAGCTGAACAGCAAGCACAAAGATTCATTACAACAACTGGTAAGGATAAAGCACCTTTTTTTTCTTCTTTTTGTGAGAAGAGGCAGTCACGGAAAGCTTTAATACATGGGTACAACTGGAGTGTCAGGGGCAGCACCCTTGGATTCTGTTCCACCAGCTGATTTGAGAAAACAGGAGGATGGTGATCGTGCAATGCTGTAGGACACTGTCTAATGTAACATTAGAAATTGGGTTTATTTGTTGCATGGTAGTTGTCAGTTACATCTGATCTTCTTTTTGGGTTGTCTGACATTGTATGTAGTTGGATTATATTCCTCACAAATCGGTCACTTAAGAGTTTATTTTAAGCAATTGAAAATGTCACAAAGTGAAGAGCATCTTGATGTATGTCTGCTACTTTTTAGGCTGCATCTCTGACATCCATGTGGTGCTCATTGGGTGACAGACAAAGCACAGTTGTTTTGCTTCATAAATGGAGCAGGGTACTACGTCCTCAGAAAAACACTATGTTGCAAATAAAGTTATAATAAAAAGTGGAGTAGTTTTCTTTCAGCACTAATCATTTAAACACTATCACAGAACATAAATTTTGAATTTCTTATTGATTTATAAAATTAAAATTTGATTGTAAGCAAATGCTACTTAAAAAATTACAGAAGCTTTTGTCATTCTTTAAATGGCCTTAACAGATAAGAAGCTTTTAGTTAGTCATGTCCACTGAGATAAAAGTATCAGAGTACCTGTGCACTTGCAACTGCTGAACGAAAATTTGTTTTGGAAAGTTATGCCTGCCCTTTGTTTGCTATTCTTTTGGAACTAAGAAATAGTTTTTAAACCTGCCTCCTGTTCCTGGAGGTGATACCAATTTATTCAATTCCTTTCAAAGGAAAAAAGGAGTATTTTTTTTTAAGAAAGTGTGTGCTCTCACTACATAAAGAGTGCCAAGTGTCTCTCTCCCTAATTTTTTTTTGTGGTACCAAGACTGTGTGTGAGAATATGGACAGAAGAGTGTTTTCTCCCTTTGGCAGCTGAAGTCATTAGCTATTTACCTAACTATGAGAAAAAGCATAAAGGTATCCCATAATTTATAAAGACATATGTATGGTGTGAAATTAAAATTGAAACAAAATGAGAATTATCCTTATTTGTGCTTCTAAATACTTTGGGTTTTTAAACAGTAAATCAATGTCCAGCTTTTAATGTGTTGCACAGGGATTTACCCTCAGAATTGATTTTTCTGGGTTTTGCTGCAGTGTGTATAGATTTTGTTTGATGTGTGCTGAGGCAGTTTGGTGTGAGGTGAATGAAACTGAATTTTGCTTGTGAAGGTAGAGGTAATTAGTGCATGTTTAATCTCTGCATTGCTCTCAAACACCTTCTTGCATTAGGGGATACTGCATATATTGGAAGTTCTGCTAGTGGTCAGCAATTCAAGGAAGCTGAGATTGTTTAATTAAGTAGTTAAGTAGTTGCAAAAGTCAGTAACACTCGTATTTTGGAACAGTTAAACCAATGCAAGTTCATTATTTTAACATGTTAATTTATGCCCATTGAATTTTTAAGACATTGCATGTCCTAGAGTGTGCATTAACTATGAAGGTGTCCTGATGTGAGTTACCTAGAATTTTCCCATCCTTTCTCAGCCAAAAGTTCTGGAGCAGTATTTGAACATTGAAGATAACAGACTCCTGATGCATCTGAAAGCATGTGCTGCTATGAGCAAACTCCCTTACGATCTTTGGTTTAAAAAGTGTTTTGCAGGATGTTTACCTGAGTCCAGTTTACAGAGGCAAGTTCTCTTTCTTTTTGTTCCCTTTGTAATTTCATAGTAATTTTAGATTTTTGTCGTCACTATCAGGCAAAGAGCTTTCTGTACTTTATCTGTAAGATTATGGTGTTAAATTTATTGCTGACTTGGAAATGATAAAATTGGATTTAATTCCCCTTGTCACTAACTCAGGATAATCAGTCTCTGTGTGATCATTTCACTCATTGAAATTGAAGAGGAATGGAGTAAGTATACCAGCTGATTCTGTTAGACACTTAATGCCTCCCAGGATTTGAAACTCCAAATCCTCTCTTAGTGATGGATAGCTGAATGGTAGTCAGTTTTCAGACTTTTTAACTAAAATCCTTGCTTAGGGAGTGATTGTATTACTGTATTATCATTAGATGCAAGAGATTTTGGGAATGTGTACTGGTTTTGGCTGGGATAGGTTAAATTTCTTCACAGTAGCTGATATAGGGCTGTGTTTGGGATTTGTGCTGAAAACAGTGTTGAAGCACAGGGATGTTTTAGTTACTGCTGAGCAGGACTTACACAGCACCACTCTGCTCCTCACACCAGCCCACCAGCGAGGAGGCTGGGGGTGCACAAGGAGTTGGGAGGAGACACAGCCAGGACAGCTGACCCCAACTGACCCAAGGGATATCCCATTCCATATGGAGTCATGCTCAGCAATAATGACAGGGTGAAAGTTGTCGGAGGGGAGAGCTCACTTGGGGCTTTGCTGGGCATCAGTCGGTTGGTGGTAGGCAACTGTTTTCATTTGTCTCACTTGTCTTTCCTAGGTTTTATTTTCCACTCTTTCATAGAATCATAGAATCAACCAGGTTGGAAGAGACCTCAGAGATCATCGAGTCCAACCCTTTGTTATTTTCTGTTTCTTTCCTTAAAATTTTTGAAACTTATTATTTATTTTTCATTATGAAACTTTTTCTTCTCAACCCACAAGTTTGTTTCTTACTTCTACTCTTCCAGTTCTTCCCACATCCCACTGGTGGGGGGAGTGAGTGAGTGGCTGTGTGGTGCTCTGTTGCTGCCTGGGGTTAGACCATGACTGAATGCTTATGTTAAAAAGTACTAGAGCAGGTTGAATATCGCAAAGTTAATGAAATAGTGGATTATGTCAGGATTCTACAGTTAGAAATAGGTTGTCAGGCTTTTAAAAGGGCAAAATTGTTGTGTGTGTCATTTCACTGAAGGGCATTTGAAGTGAATCTTGTATGATTTCTCTGGTTTTGCTGCCTGAGAACTCTTGGAAAGCAGGAAATTCAAGCTAGATGTAGAGAAACATTCGTTCTGCAGTAAAAAGAGTTGCTAATAGCTGAACAGGACATGGCACAAAAAAAACAATGGTTTCATTTTCAGCTGCCTGAAAACTTTGAGAAGTAACAAAGGAAGTTGTACTCCAGCACTTCCAGAACTTCAGTGGTTAATAACAGGAAGCTGTAGAAAGTGCTATTATGGTGGTAAAGTTGGCCATAATCTGAATAGTGAATGAAATCTTATTTGTTTATCTGGGACTTCACATTTCATGAAGGAAAGTGGGAATTGGCTGTTTTAAAAAATGTTTTATTTGCCTTATAAAGATAAGAAGGTTTTAGGGAACAAGCTGTAAGATTAGAAGTAATGCTTTCTGGTCTTGTTGGACCATGGTCTTTGAGGTTCTGTATGTTCTGCTGTTGGCAAGGAATATGTTTGAGAGGAAACAACCTTTTGAACCAAAGCTGAAGGATTTGGTAGTAGACCTTTAGGTGCAGCATGGTAGTTGTTATGTGGCAAGTTCTTCTCATCAACACCTATAAGGCTCCAAAATAGTCATCTCTGTGTAGTGGTTGTGTGTGATGTGGTGGTTGAAACCTTTTACAACTTATATGGCTACAGAAATTATGTAAGCATGTGTAGTATAGGATGTTTTAGAGCCTTAAAAGCAATTGAGCACCTATGATTCACCTACATCTCTGTCACATTTGCGTTAGTATGTTACTTTTAGCAGGTAATGACTGATCTTGTTTCGTTGTGCTTTCTCTGTGTGCAGCTTCATGCCTTAAAGCATAAACTACTGTCAGTAGAAGTGACCTACCTGAGACTTGCCAGTCTCTTCAGGCCTTTTTTTTCCCTGTGGGCTTTTGTGACCTGAAATACCCTTAGTAATCTACTGCATTGGGAACCTCTTTGCATGTCTCCTAGGAAATATTTTGATTTAGAGCTTATGTGATTCAATTTTGCTACTGGGTCTTATGGCTGAGAACTAGAACTGAATGCAGAATTTGCATCAGAGCAGTTTTGCTCTTGGAAGGTGAAGGGTTTTTAAATTTCTGTTGAAAATCGAACATTTCATGGAGCTGAGTCATCTTGATAGTGTGAAAGAAAAAAACAGATGAAGAATTTTGTTTTCATATTTCGTCTTGTCAGAATCTTTAGTTTCAAACTTCTACCATTTTGTATCAGTTTGTTTATATATTTTGTCTGGTAAGTGTATATGTTTAGCGTTTGCATATACTGTTTTACCTTACTGAAATAGATTATTTTGAAGACCTAGAATTTTTTTAATGCCCTCCTCCCCCCTCATGGGAAAGGTCAGAGTATTGGATTTTTCTATCACCCTGGAGTAAAAACAAATTTCAGTGTTGGTACTTCTGATGGCAGAGCAATCCCTTTTCCCAGCAGTTCTTGTGAGAACGTGATAAAAGTGCACTTTTTCTTGGCAGTTTAGGTTTCTGAATTATTCAGTTGTAATCATAATGGCCTTATTCGCTAAGGAAATAACATACTTCATGTGTAGCATGTGACAGATGAACTTAATTAATGCTTGGAGACTTGGGTTGGATTAGAATCTAGAAGCCTGAATGCTTATCTGAAATGTATCCAAATGGCAGTGTTGGAACTGCTGAGATTTGAAAACAGGTCTCCAATTCTCCTGTGAATTCTACTTACTTTTTTTGTCAAGTGAGAGATGATTTGAACACAGTCTTTTATGATCTAATTTAACTTACCGTTTAGCACTGTATTTCTTGGAGAGGTTGCTTGCTTTCTATAAATTGTAGTCTTCTCTGCCAAGCAGCTAAATCTAAATTTCATGGTTTGTTTTTTTCCTCCTTCTCTAAGATATACAAGATTTGAATATGCTGTGCAGAAATGTATCTGATAATGGTGAAATGAAGTTGCACAATCCCAGCTTTACTCCTGACAGGCATTGTCACTCAGTGTAAATACTGTTTTATAGCACACTTCTAGCTACAATTTATCTTAATTTAAATGGGTTTGGAAAATGTGTATAGACAGGTCTCACGTGGAAACTGTGAGCTTATGCAGTGGCTTTGTGTGCCCTAATACACTTGACATATTATGCAACAAGCTGCTTAGCAAACTTCTTAAAAGTGCCGTGTTGGTAAAAGAGAGGAGCAGAGTGGCCATTTCAGAGGCTCTGTATCCCACCTGGAATATAGACAGGTGCTCCCTGGAATATGAACCAGCCTGCAACACAGTTTGAGAGGGACAGAAAAGTGTACTTGTCTCTGAGACAGGGAGAGAAATGGATCTCATAGTTGTTTTCATACTCATCATTGCCCTGTTTGTTTGATTTCTGCAGCAGCATTGTCTGGTTATTTGCTGGGTAAGCACCATGTGTGGTGCTGTGTGGGCCTTCAGCTGGAGATCCTACTGTTAAAACTTCATGTCCTGTTTGTGTCTTCAGTTCTTCTGGCTGAGTGACACTTTGGCTGCCAATGTGTTCCAGCACTGTCACCCCAGATGATCCTGCCATAACAGAAGTGGTGCAGCTTTGCAGTTGTAATTGTGACCGAGCCAGGGGTTTTTATGGCCTAGTGATGCCAATCACGTATCATACCCCTGACTAATGTTGTTTGTATTCTGCACTGAAGGCTTGGCATTAGCAGGGTGAGGTTAGGTTATTAGTCTCTGGCAGCTTGTTAGCGGCAAAGCATTTGGTCATTCTGAAATCTTACAACTTTCAATCTGCCACTACCTCATATATTAATAGATGACTTCTGTAGATTTACATCTGTGATCTCCATGTCTTCCATAAATTACACCTAGTCCTAAAAATGTAAGTAATTTGTTAGTGGAAACAGCAGAAATATGAAAAATGTCTTAAATCTACTGTGGAGTGGGAGGGCATAAGAATGTGCACGTGGATTACTGCTACAGAGAAACTTAATTAGAAACTTAATTCAGTTTGCCGTTGTCTGACTGATTCTTGTGCTGCTTCCCAACTCTATAAATGGCCAGGCACAAGATCATGGTGTGGCATCAGGGTGAGATTTGTGTGAGCCTCATCGTGTTCCTCCATGCCCAGTTACTGCCAGAAGGACACCCAGAAGTGCAGGCACAGGAGAAAGCATTGGTTCTTTTTGGGTATCTCTGGCCTGGGTGACAGGAGGGCCAGAACCAGAGGATAAGGTCAAGTGTGTTTACCCTGCAGCCTAGGGAAAAACTATGAGATTAGTGGTAATATTTTAGAAGAAGGGAAAGCTGCAGTGCTGTGATGCTTCTTGTGTACTACTGCACTGTAGTGGTGTAGGAGCCTCAGAAACTGCCCTGGGAATGGCAGCCCTTTGCACACAGGTGCACGTAGGGTAAGTCGTATCTCATCCACAGAAAAAGCTCAGTGAGAAGCAAATGGTTTCTTTTGCATAATCCTTGCCGTGCTCTCTGCCTTCACAGCTTCCTGGTCCTTTTTAGTTTCCCTTGTGGTTGTCACTACTGTTTCACTGTCCAAGAAATACCTACAAGAGTGCTCCTGTGGTTAATTGAGTAGTTGCATTTCACAGAGGGTGATAGTCGCACAAAACAGTGATTTTCGTGCATACCTTCTGTTTCAGCATGCCTGAATAGGGCTGAGGGCACAGTCGAATGATTTTTTCTGTTGTACTGTTAAGCTGCTGTGGTTGAATAGGGCTGAGGGCACAGTCGAATGGTTTTTTCTGTTATACTGTTAAACTGCTGTGGGTTTTTTCCATTTTGGACACAGTTTATGTTGTTGCTTCTGGCTCTGCTGGCACAGGCAAGGTGCTGACTGTTGATCACAGTGTGGCACGGTCATTCCCAGATTACTGTCACTGGTGGAGTTGCATTGAGAGTAACAATAGCTGGAAATGTTAAGGGGAAAATATTGCAGCAGACACAGCTGGTTGGTGCTGACATCTCATCCGCTTTTCTATGCACCATCTTCCAAAATTTGTTAAGACAGTGGTGATTTAGATACTGCATCTGTTTTACCATTGTTAGAACATTTGTTCTGGAATCAGACTAAATAATGCAGGAAAACAATAGAGTGTTTTCTGAGCAGAGCATGTAACCTAAATGTAATTTTGGAGACTGAAGTCAGGAGAACTGGAAGCAAAATAATGAAAGAAGGCTGTATATTTTGTATTAGGATCAGTAAATTTGTGTTTGAATTAACGTGAGCTTTGCTACGAACTTTTAAAATTATTTTGTGTTTTTAAGGTCTGCTGCTCTCTGTAATTATTATTTTTAATGATAGTTCTGATGCACATGAAGCATATGGGGAAGCTGTTCTTGAGTTCTAAACAGATACTTCTGTGAAGGAAAATGCTTTAGAAGTAAACAGGGATAACCTGTACAGTGTGGAACAGCACTGTTGTCTCAGTTCTCTTATCCTTGCTCAAAGCTTCTAGGCCTGACTTCGACATCAGTGTAATGTCTATAGTGATCATTTGTCCTGGGATGCTTGAACCACAAAGCAAACAGTGAAATTTTGATCTTGGATTAAGTGTTGTTGCTCCCCATATGGGAATCATACTCATTTTTTTAATCATAGTGAGATAGGGAATTAAAACTAAATTGAAAAGGAGAAAGAAATTGGCAGTGCCTTTTTCCCCATCTGTCCATGTGGATTTTTTTGTTTTATGCTTATTTTAAGAATAGTCCTGAGGATTTTACATATTCTTTTCCTCAGGTCTTCATTTTAAGTTAAAATCTAGTCTAAATTTTTTGATGGAGAGGTTGTGAAAATAGTGTCAAAAGAGTTACATGAATAGAAGGTTAAGAAACTGACACAGAGTTGACTCGAGTCACTGCGTGAAAAATAAGCACTGTGCAGCAGCAGCAAGCCTTGCACATTAGGAATTATAAAGCTTTTCACCAAAATTATCACAGAAAAGTTGAGGTTGGCAGGGACCTCTCAGGGGCATCTGGTCCAGCCACTCCCTCTGCTCAAGCAGGGCTGCCTAGAGCCAGTTGCCCAGGACCACATCCAGACACCTTTTGAATGTCTGCAAGGAAAGAGATGACTTCATCTCTCTGGACAACCTGTGCCAGTGCTCAGTCGCCCTCACAGTGAAAAAGTGTTTCCTGATGTTGAGAGGGAACCTCCTGTATTTCAGTTTGTCTGTTGCCTCAGGTCCTGTGACTGGGCACAACGGGAAAGAGCCTGGTTTTGTCCTTTTCGCACTCTCCTTTCAATATACATTGATGAGATTCCCCAGATCCCTTTCTTTTCCAGGCTGAGCAGTCCCAGCTCTCTCAGCCTTTCCTCATAGGAGAGATGCTGCAGTCCCTTCATCATCTTAGTGGTTCTTGGCTGGGCTCTCACTTCTTAACTCCTTGTTGAAAGGTGTGATACCTACACTTCAATTCAGCTGTCAAAGTTCATGCCAAGCCTGCACTGTGCTCTCCTGGGACTCCTGAGGAAGGTCATACAAAAGTTGAGTCATACAAAACATTGGAAGAAGCACACCCATAGATACAAATTTATAGTGGGCTGCAGAAGGTGTTTTTCAGTTAGTGTTACTGTGTTCAGAAATTACAGAGGATAGTATGTGATCTTTGTCCCCCGTGTTTTTATTTGGAAGGAGAAATACTTTGAACAGGTGCCCAGAAGGAGCAAGAACTGTAGTCCTCAGAAAGTCTTTCTGACACAACTGTTAAAATTCAAGAACTAAAAATAATGCAAGCCCATAAAAGCTGCCATCTGACAGATGGTTTCACACTGGTTTTGGATAATCTCTCATCCCAAGTCTGTTGAACTGGGCCTGAGAGAGAGCTGCCAGATGAAGGATGATTTCAATTTGTTGCAGGCTGTTTTAGTAAGAAAGATCATTTTAATATTCACCGAAGTTCTGTTGTTGAAGTACAGGCATCCTTTGGAGACCTGCCCTTCAGGTTTTCTTAAAACTGTGAGGTCCAGGTATGGTTTCATACAAGTGCTTGGAGTGCTTAGGTCATTCTGAGAGAGTCTGTGCACAGTGGGATGGGTTGGATGACTTAATAGTTATTCCTTGTGCCTAATTTAAACATCATGGATTATATCCTGGTGATAGGTCATATTTGTATCTCACACAGCAATGGCCTGGAATATTTAGCTGCTTGGGGTGCAGTAGTTCAGCATTACATCCCTATGAATTTTCAGCTATTTAGCTGTTTGAAGGGTCTTTGTTATGCATGCTAACAAAGATAGTTTCTGCCTTCTTTTTTGCACTAGGAAAAATTCTCTCCTTTACCATACACTGTAGAGTAGTTGTTACAGTTCAGACAATTAAAACAGGATTTGCTTTTTGTACTTGAGCTTGTAAACAGTTGAATTTCCAAACAGCAACACACCATATCACAATGCATATCAGTTCTCTCTCGTCATCCCTTTGCTCTGTACAGAATCAGGAGTTGATAAAGTATCTTTTATTTAGCCTGACCCAAATAATCCAATACATTGCTGTTATTCAGAAAAGCAGTCTGGAAAGAAGTGATTGTACAAAGACTATTCTAGCAGATAAATAAGCAGATAAGCACTGCAATAAAGATTTGATGACTCCTTTTCACTTTTTTGTAGAGTTTGGGACAAAGTTATTAGTGGGTCCTGCAAGATTCTCGTTTTTGTTGCTTTGGAGATATTATTAACCTTTAAAATGAAGATAATAGCACTGAATACTGCAGAAAAGATCACCCAGTTTTTGGAAAATGTAAGTACTCTATTGTGCTTGGCATTACCTTTGATGGTCTATAAAAGCATGTTTCAGCCTTAGTCACTTGCCTGTGGCAGAAGTACTGTAAGATGCTGTGACATTACTTACTGAGAACAGTGTGGTAGTACCAAGGTGAAGAGAGAATGTGCAGGGATGAGGAGAATAATCTTTTCTATCAGGAGGTAAGGCTTTCATAGAATTAAATGATTTTTGGGCTTGAGGAATGTATTACCTATATTTGTACAGAATTGACAATATGCCTTGTGATACTGAAGGATGTTTCTGTGAAAGTAAGTGCAGGTGAGGTTAGGTTAATTTTCTGGAAGCCTCTTCAGTTTCTGGCACCTTCTTTTGCTTCTTGCCTGAGGGCGAATCTGTAGACTCAGGGTGTGTTTTCTGTTGCTGTGAGGTTGAGGTCATGAACCTGACCCTGAACTTTCCTTCTGTGAATAGCAACAAGCACCAAGCAGGGCTGTAGGGCCCCAGTGTAACTCAGGTTAGTGAGGTGAGATGAGTTTGTGGTCGTAGATGGCCAGTATGGTAAGATCTTTTTGTCCAAAACCTGGAGGTAATAGGGTGTGTGCAGGACTGAGGGGTGGTGGGACGGTAGGGCCGGGAGATGGGATTCTAGTCTTGTTTTCTTTTTTTTATAAAGAGATAAAATCTGAACTGGACATTGAAAAGCTTTATGTTAAACTAAACAACCCAAATAAAGTTCTCTGACAGGGCATCTTGTCCCGATCTTTTGTAGATTCCTCAAGACAACACTGACGCTATTGTCAGCAAAGCTGTAGATCTGTGGCGCACGCACTGTGGGACTCCAGCACACTCAGTCTGAGAACTCTTCACTTGTGTCAGCTTGGGGAAAAAAAAAAAGGACGTTTGAAATGACATTATACCACTCTTCCTCTATCCTAGTGTGATGTTCCTCATTAACTGTTCTTTGTAAAGCTCTTATTAAGGTGCAGTGACCAATATGTAAATATTTTTCAATAAATACCAGTGGAATGAACATACCTAGTGGTGCTGTGATCATGTCCAAAGTGTTTGTTGGTCAGCCAGCTGCAGTGTTTTGATTGCACACTGTGCTCTCTTGCTTTTGCAGAAGTAAATCTAATTCTGGAAGCAAGGTGAGTAGACTTGCAATTTAAAAATATTTCTGTATGCCACCTTACACTTGATATGTAAGTAGTTCTTACTTGGAGGTGTTTTTAAGGTGAATTTACTGCATGTTAGTCTGCTGGCTGGTGGACCAGCAGTTCTTTGCTGGGAATGTAATTGTACTCTATTAATACTGTAAATTGTCAGGTAAACGAGGCTTCACAAGTCTGAGGTAGAGGATGTCAGAATGACCAGGGGTGACATCCTTTTCTGAAGTGTTTAAGAAGACTTCTTATCTGTCAGTCAGCTCCCTATGGCTGTACCTTCTCCTTTGCTCATCATGGAAGATGTGCTAGAGAGGTAGATATGTGCAGGTATGTATAAAATCAGTGGGATGAGTCAATATAATTTAGAGTTTCAGGCCAATGCCTGTGAGTTCTTAGCTTGAAGGTGTTGGAATTTGATTTTTGTTTGGCTTAGATATCAAAATAAATTTAATACAGAAATGTAATTCATGATGATACAAGCAGAGTGATTAGCCACAGATAGAGATTTACTGGAGAGCTGATCTTTTCCTTGTAAAAGTGTGAAATTCTATTTCTGCCTCTTGCATGGACCAGGGAATTGTATATAAAAACATGTTGCTTAGCTGTTATTTGGCTGAAATTGATGCTCAGTATTCCAAGTGCTAAGTATGCTCATTGCACTTCAGAGAGTGTGTTTAGCTTGCAGTAGGTGTAGTGCAGACTTAAAATGCTTTAGAAACTTTTGTTTTAAACTAGGTCAGGTTTACCTTCCAGCACATTAACTGGGGAAGCTTGGGACTCAGCTCAGGCTACCCCTAAAACCCTGGGTAGGTGACCTGTGCTGGATGCTGAGGTGCTGCTGTTAGTGCTGCTGGAATGCCTCAGTTTAGCCAGTTCAGAGAAAGCATGTTTGTGTCTGCTTTGAAATCCATCGTTGTGTCTGCATTGTAGTGTAATCCACTGAGTTCACGTCAGAGGGAGCTAGTTTTCCTAGCACAGGCACGGGAGCTGGGTGAGGTGGATGGGGAAAGAGCACACACGTCCTGTGAGGAACAGCACTGCATTCTGTGACATGCACTGCACAGATTTGTCCAATAATGGCCACGGGTGCAGTGTGAGAGATTGCTCATTTGAAGATTTTTCCCCCGGCTGCACAGCTAATTCCCCAAACCCCAAAGGTATGCGTGCATTATTCAGGCCTTTACACCTTGGATTACTTGGTCATTTAGAAAACAAGCAGCGATGACACTGAAGGAGTTCAGTAGTTTCAGTCTTGAAAGGGAATCAATAACTCATATTCTGTGAAGAGAGGTGCACTGAATCAGGATTAGAAAAGCCAGTCAGTGTTACTGATTCCAGACTTGCCAGGGAGTGTTCCTGCAATTACTATTTGATTGAAGACTCTGAACGTTTTTCTAATTTAAAGAAGCCTTTCTCTTCCACTAGGCAGGACCTGGAGCTGCACAGAGGAGAGAGATCTCCTTTTGCATCATCACAAGGGGCTGAGGCTGGCAGGGACCTCTGGAGTCCATCTGGTCCAACCCCTGTTCCCAAACAGGATCACTAGAGCCAGTTGCTCAGGACCATGTCCATGTGGCTTTTGAATATCCTCAAGGAGAGAGGCACTACCACCTCTCTGGGCAGCCTGTGCTCAGTCACCCTCACAGTAAAATATTTTTGTGTTTCTGTATGAGCAGTGGCAATTTTACTTAACATCCCATTGTATGTGGGTGGATCCTCAAATGCTGCTCTGCTGTAATGTCCCGCTGAAGTTTGTATGCTGCTGTTTCAGTTCCATGTACAGAGAAGGAACAGGAGTGTTTCTTTAATGCAGAGTGCATTATTTATTGTGGGCTGTGCTGAAAGAAGGGAGTTCTCTAGAGAATATGTAGTGGTTTAACTCCATGCTTCCTTCACCAACCTGGTAGGAGACATTTGTGTATCTCTTAGTGGATCCATTCCTCTGACTTTCACTATGGATTTATGAGGGAATCAGTTTATACAGAAAGCTCACTGAATTCCTGAAAGACTGGAAGCATGAATCTGGCTAACTTAATACTCGGGTAATTTTGGGTGGTTGCTCAGTTGCACATACACTCAGTAGAACATAATGGTTTAGCTCAGAGACCTACTTCACAAGAGAGCAGAACAGCACAATATGAGCTTCCATTATCCTCAGGATGTGACAAGAGGAAGTTGAGGCAAGGTACCTTTAAAATCCCAGCCTGGAGCAGAGTCCATCATTTGGGAAGCCTGGGACTGTGCCTCTAGTGATTGTCATCAGCCTGGGGTTAGTAGCAAACAGTTGCTCTTTGTGACCTCTTGAACTAAACTAGTGCAATAGTTGTGGTGTCCAGCTCAGCACTGGGAAGTCCAAGTTTGGTCATTTACCTGCCGTGGACTACTAGTGTCTTACACAGATTGTTTTGAAGTTGCACATGGATGAGCCTCCCACTGAAGTCCTTGGCTAAGTAATGTGAGGAAGGGGGTTTACCTTTGCTGCTTGTTTTCTCTTACCTCTGTGTCATGTAGGAGGAGCATGGTAAGAAGTCATCTGATGATCATTTTTCCTGAGAAGCTTAAAAATGAGATATTTTGCCTTTATTTACATTATTTCTCCTTGGCTGGCAGAGTATGTAACTGCTTGCTGCATGCTGGCTTCTTTATTTAGAACTAGCTGCTAAGTGTTGGGTTTTTCTTTCTTCTTTTTTTTCCCTTTTGTTTTCCCCCAGAAACAACACTGAAGCAGTTGCTTTGGACACTGAAATTTCCCTACTTAAGGTTCCCCCTGCCAAATATCTTCATGGGCTTTGCTAACAAGAAAAATAAGCTTAATTTGGTCCCCTTAAGCAGTACTTTGTGTCCAGAGAGCTTTAGAGCAGTGCCACATATTTGTCTCTTCCAGTGATGTCCAAATGTGATGGAAACTCCAGATAAGAAAAGTAATGGCAGATGTCAGAGAATGATGCTTGAAAAGTGATGAGTGATTTGAACTCTAGTAAGGGGAGGAGAATATGGAGAAAAAAAGTGGCTGAAATACAGTAATTCAGAGGCTGATAAAGTAATGGTGATACAGAGCAGGTTTCTGTGAACAGGAGATCAACTTTGATATCCTCAAGGGACAACTGCATTTGCAGATGGTATCTTTCTGAACACCACAGCTCCTAACCACACCACACAAATTTACCTGGAAGCCAAGTTTTTGTTCATTCTGCCACTCCAGGAAGAATTTTCTAAGCCCCTTTGTACCATTTGTAGGCACCACTGGCCAGTGTGGTGTAGGGTGGTGTTGCACCACCTGCACCTGGCCCTGACAGCTGGTTCTCGAATGCTGGTGATGTCCAGGAGCTGTCACCTCCCACTGCTCAGGAGCAGGGCAACCACTTTTACCCGTGCATACTAGCTCAACTGCGTGACCAGGGCATGCCCATGCTGTTGCTTTTGGTCTAGGTTGTCTGGGAACCTTAATCCTAGGGGTAAAGGGGAGAAATAGAGGTGAGGAAAATGACAGCAAAGCAATCTTGCCCTATACCTGTGCCAAGCGGCAGAGTGTGTTTGTGCAGGTGTGTCTGTTAAATGGAAAATTGATTTTTTCAGCCTCCTCTGTTTCCTGCCGAAAGATGGCATTGGATTGCAATCTGATTGCTAGTAATTACATGGACTTCAGTGGAAACACACATGCAATCTCTTTCCTTAGACTGGTTTTATGAAATGCTTCCATTAAAATATAAAACCCCATCCCTGTTGGAGAGGTGTGGGTGCAAGAGATGACCGCGTTCTCGCATTCCCTCTGTGATCTATCCTCACTAGTATTTTTCTCGTTAAAGCACAGCAATTACCATATGTAACCAAACCAGTATATACTGCTACTGGGGAAGCCATAGCTAGTTGTGGGGCAACGGGATCTTTAGTCAAAAACTACAATTTTGTTTATTTACCCAAATCACACTGGATAGCTACAAATTTGGCTGTCACAATGCAAATGCATACAAACACACACAAACAAGGATTGCAAGGAGGTCAGTGAAAATTCACCCAAATGGAAACACCAAAAAACCCAGAGTTTTGATCATGTTCTATCTGCTATCAGCAAGGGAAAGGAACAGAATTTGGTCAGTTAAAGTATATGTATCTTTAATTTTGTGCAATTGGAAGCCTCAGTGTGTGGTGGGGGGGGGGGGGGGGGGTGCTCCCCCCCCCTGCCAGTTAGGATGAGTGAGGATCCAGTGAGGATGTTGGGTGTCAGTTGTCTCTTTAGGGTCAGAGTTTTTGCATCATCAGTTTACAAAAGCTGAAGAGCCTAAGCAGAGCTGTTACCTTCAGTACTTTCTGCAGGAGGCTAGTGAGACTGAAGTTATGTGCTTATTCTTGTGAAGGTTTGTCCTCTTTTCACTGAACAGAGGCTTCAGCTTGTCACAACCTGAAATGCTGTGCAACCACTGAAGCTACTTGGGGAGAAAAATGGGAAAAATGTATGAAGAGGTGATATGGAAGCACATGGATTTTCAGGAATGCCTCTGCTGCTGAACTGTATTAGCACTTGCTGGTGCTATGCAGTGGCATTTTCCCTACCCATCAGCTGCTGCATATTGGACAAAGGCTGTGGGAACAGGGAAGGAGGAGTAGAGCTGGCAAATGCTGCACATTGACTCTGGCAGTTGGTGCTGGCAGGTTGTACCCTGTACCGACAACACTGTGGTGACAGGTGGGATTTTGTGTTTGTGTGTGTCTAGTCTAGACTGTTGGGTTTGCTCTTTACCAGCATGGTGTTGGGTACAGCTTAAGCAGCTGAGGTACCAGTCATCCTCCTTGGCACACCTTTGCTGAGCCAGCTCAGTGACAGCACTCGTGGCTCACTCGGTATGTCCCACCAATCTGCTCTGGTA